GTAATATACATACATGTAACATACTAACAGATTCTAAAGTCATTGTAATATACATGTAACGTACTAACAGATTCTAAAGTCATTGTAATATACATACATGTATGTTACTAACAGATTCTAATGTCATTGTAATATACATGTAACGTACTAACAGATTCTAAAGTCATTGTAATATACATACATGTAACATACTAACAGATTCTAAAGTCATTGTAATATACATACATGTAACATACTAACAGATTCTAAAGTCATTGTAATATACATGTAACATACTAACAGATTCTAAAGTCATTGTAATATACATGTAACATACTAACAGATTCTAAAGTCATTGTAATATACATGTAACATACTAACAGATTCTAATGTCATTGTAATATACATGTAACATACTAACAGATTCTAATACCCGTGTATTAGACCAACAATTTTTATGTATATCTTGTAAAACCAATATAACAGAGTAAAAATTCATATTTCCACAACATTTATATAACATATCCTTTATACCTAAGTAAAAACATAACCAGTAACCACACGTACGACAGTCATCAACCAAAATCCAGTTTCTCACCCAACTACACCTCCTCTGGATCTATTCAGCGAAAGCTTTCCTCGTATCATCATAATACAAGATTTTACTTTATTTAATGTATTTATTAATACTAACTGTTCACAATCATCTTCCATAAACTTATGTAACAAGTCCCCCTTTCACCTATGTAACACACACACCTCCTGCACAACACTTATATAACACACTGTGTTTCTTCTCTGAATATATGGGCATTTAATATCAAACACCGTGTTAAAACAGTTCTTTACAAAAGATGGCTCTATTCTTGAATCATGTACCTTGACTTAGACTGCTCTTAGCAGGAAAACAAATGCTATCCAATTAGTTACGTTGACGTACTTATAAAGAAGCTTAGAAAACTTGAAGGTTGTATTAATTACACCTTAAGTACCAGTTGGCTTACAGAGAAGCATCTTATACAGTACATGAATATTACAGAGAGAAGAAAAAAACTTAAAAATAGTAAGTCTTCTTAGAAAGTTTCTGACATGAAGACAAACAAGACCATGTAGTACTTAGAAAACTAACAAGATATAAATGAATCCCACACAGAGCTTGTTGTATCAAGGTTAATCTTATTAGTGAAAACTACAGTTTAATGCCACTGACGCTGTTCCGAACAAGCACTCCAATCTCAGAAGATGTGCAAATATGTACATATGAAGTAATACATCATAACTAGCCTTTCATATTTAGTGGGATGTGAACACGTACTCATCCACATTAAAAGGTGGATAATCTTGTTATAATGCAGTAATATGTGGACTTGCAATTAACACACATTTACTAGGAATTTAACAACAAATTTTGGCATTTATTTTCATGTCTTAATATTTATTACCATACCTTATAAAATTTCTGGTATTTTTTATAAAAAGTGGATAATAACATGGCTTGAGTTAGTTATTAGGCAAAGAGACATAAATGTTATTGGATGCCGTCACCTTCTGATGGTTAATTTGGGATTGTCGGCCTGACACTGGCAGCATCTGCTTTGTTTTAAGGAGTTAACGTTCATCAGAATTTTTACACGTTCAGAGCAGCACCATGAACATGACATTTTTCCACACTGGTACATTTTGGACATAGATTGCCTAACGAATCACAACTCAACTTGTATATTTACCTTCCCTCAGCCAGTTACAAGATCAGCTATGACATAGCCATCAGAATAAACTACTTTTGTTGCCATCACCTTTTTGAAACTCAGAAATACTCTGGTGATTCATTTAAAGGTCAACAAAAATGTGTCTTAAAAGTTGTTACAGTCAAAAAGTCAAGGTTTCAAAATATGTAGATTATTACATTCAGAAGATGAATGTTCTAAATGCTATAGATTAACACAGTAAGAAAGTCAGTGTTCTAAAGTCTATAGATTAACACAGTAAAAAAGTCAGTGTTCTAAAGTCTATAGATTAACACAGTAAGAAAGTCAGTGTTCTAAAGTCTATAGATTAACATAGAAAGTCAATGTTCTAAAGTCTATAGATTAACATAGAAAGTCAATGTTCTGAAGGCTATTGATTAACACAAAGTCAATGTTCTAAAGTCTATAGATTAACATAGAAAGTCAATGTTCTAAAGTTTATAAATTAACATAGAAAGTCAATGTTCTAAAGACTATAGCTTAACATAGAAAGTCAATGTTCTAAAGTCTATAGATTAACATAGAAAGTCAATGTTCTGAAGGCTACTGATTAACACAGAAAGTCAATGTTCTAAAGTCTATAGATTAACATAGAAAGTCAATGTTCTAAAGTCTATAAATTAACATAGAAAGTCAATGTTCTAAAGACTATAGCTTAACATAGAAAGTCAATAGATTAACATAGAAAGTCAATGTTCTAAAGTCTATAGATTAACATAGAAAGTCAATGTTCCAAAGGCTATAGATTAACATCAAAAGTCAATGTTCTAAAGGCTATAAATTACCATAGAAAGTCAATGTTCTAAAGGCTATAAATTACCATAGAAAGTCAATGTTCTAAAGGCTATAAATTACCATAGAAAGTCAATGTTCTAAAGTCTATAGATTAACATAGAAAGTCAATGTTCTGAAGGCTATTGATTAACACAGAAAGTCAATGTTCTAAAGTCTATAGATTAACATAGAAAGTCAATGTTCCAAAGGCTATAGATTAACATCAAAAGTCAATGTTCCAAAGGCTATAGATTAACATCAAAAGTCAATGTTCTAAAGTCTATAAAGTAACACAGAAAGTCAATGTTCTAATGGCTATAGATTAACACAGTAAGAAAGTCAATGTTCTAATGGCTATAGATTAACACAGTAAGAAAGTCAATGTTCTAATGGCTATAGATTAACACAGTAAGAAAGTCAATGTTCTAATGGCTATAGATTAACACAGTGAGAAAGTCAATGTTCTAAAGTCTATAAATTAACACAGAAAGTCAATGTTCTAATGGCTATAGATTAACACAGTGAGAAAGTCAATGTTCTAAAGGCTATAGATAATCAGTCAGTAGATCAATGTCCTACAAATTATATGTTATGATAATCAACTCTGACATAGCGACTTAATTTGGTGAGATCAGAATCTTGTTAGCTTGGTTCTTAGAAGTACTAGGGCCTATCAAAACTATACACACTTTTACATTAGTCCAGCTTCCATGAAAGTTATTTAATTTTTTTTTAAACTGGTAAAACTCTAAGACTAGCTCTGTACATGTAGTTAAGTGATATTCCTAAGCTCTGTTTACTTCCCTTGTGTGTAGCGAGTCATATTAATAATACTGATAAGTAATTTGTCCATTTAATATATAGTTATCATTAGCAAAAACAAGTCTTTATTCATAAATCACGATTTTATTTACGTCCAGAAAAATGTGACAGGTGAAACCCAAACCATTCCACAAGATATTTCTGGGGCAGATTTTTTTCAATAAGTCTGTTCTTTAAAGGAAGACAGCTAAATGTCATGACATCTATTCAACTCTAGTTTCAAATAAACGTAATTAAGTAGTTACAGTATAGAGAATAACTGTTATATGTAACCTACAAATTTAAATACTAGGCTTACATCAAATCAAACCAGCACAGCAGCTATCAACCAATTACATTAGCTGACATTTATAGACTGATATATATATATATATATATACATATCTCAAGGTATATTTCAATTCTAGTGAAAAACATGTTAAACGTTGATTTTATAAGGAAGATCAGGATTTAGTTCAACAGACTACATGACTAACTACAGCAGAAACACAAAGATGTATCTTAGTTCCCTTGAATACGTTTATATTAACAGCTCCTACAGTGCGGTTACAAAAATTCAAGTTTACATTTTTTCAGTACACAGTCTAGGAATCTTACACTTAAAAAAAAAGTTAATATTTTTGAAAGTTTTCTGAACTGTACTCAAACTTTCATGTTGTTATTAGTAAACTAATAACACACCTTAGTAACAGTGGCCACTCAAGTCTGTTCTTTAATTTAAAAAACTGTTTGAAACACAAGCCGTTTTCAAACGTCCATTTGTAAAAAAAAATTTAAAAAACACCATAAAATTAATCTAGACATTTTTAAAACAACAAACCAACAAATAAATTATCAAAATTACAAATAAACTACCAGTTATTTCTTTATAATCCTTAGTTTAGTTTCGACTGAGTTTCCAAAACAAAATAACTTAACAACAACAACAGTTTTGGATTAGATGAAAACATTTTTAATTTACCATTTACAGATAAAACTAAAATTCTAAAATTTATGTGAAAACCGATTCCTTATGAAGTCATGTCCAACTTCCCATGGTAGCAGTTTTTGTTTTTTATATGTACTAAAACACATTTAAACTCTTCCTTTGAGTTACCTGTTATGTAGAAAAGTTTTAGTTATTATAGTTGAATGTGGATAAATGAATCCACAACTCTTAAGGTCATTTCCAAAACAGTCTCTGAATAAAATGATGCACTTTTAACTCATCATTTCACATTTTAATAACTCAGAAAACAGAATTCACAAATAAATAAATGGACAATAAATAAATAAAATATCTTCAAGGAGAAAGTTTCATGAGAAGTGATATAACATCGTTTTCCTAAATATGCATGCGCACATATCAATTCTAAATATGTTATCAGTAATATATTTCCACCAGTTTAAAGGTAAAATTCACGTATTTCAAAGCTACACACTTTAATTACACGTGTATTACTATATTTCAAAGCTACACTTTAATTATATGTGTATTACTATATTTCAAAGCTACACACTTTAATTATACGTGTATTACTATATTTCAAAGCTACACACTTTAATTATACGTGTATTACTATATTTC